ATGGCTCCCATAAGAGCATACACTTTTCAACCTAATGAGCTATGCCCATCTGAGGAAAGAATCCAATCAGGAGCATGAGAGACTATAGACAGCCCCCCAACATCTTATCCCTTGTCTTATCCCTCAGCAGAAAGGTTATTTAAGTGGCAAAATGCCCAGCTAAATTCTACATTTCTTGGGCTTCGTAGTAACCAGGGCAACTGACAAAACGAAAGCACAAGTGGGTGGGTAGGGCTTACAGACAGCTTGCCTTTCCCTGCTCCCTCTTGTTTGCTGCCTAGAACAAGGATGTGATGGGCGGAGCTTCAGCAGCCATTCTGGGACCAAGAAGACTGTAAAGACTTAAGCCACTGAACCAGTGCCAAAACCAGGTACTTCTGGACTTTTATTACATGTAAAAAGTGAACACGCTTCAGTCAATGGATATACTTACATCAGCGTGTCTGACGTTCTGTTACTAAGAGATGGACATAGCTCATAACTGAAAGAGAAGATCAAAAATAGAAGAGAAAATCCCCTAGACGAAGGTCTCAAAAGGAAAGGAGATTGTGGGATGGTCACACAGGAAGAAGACATACAGTTGATAAAGAGGCAAATATGCTTCTCAGAATAGAAACAAAGGCAGAAAAAGGTGAATGGCAGTTAGTGAGCCCACCCTAAGGGGCGGACAGACAAGCAGCTTCTATCATCTCGGGATATTAGAGAGTACGTATTAAAGGAATGGGCATCAGGGCCTTGGCCAGAATGGGGGCCTGGGAACACCACCAGAGTTGGGTCACAGGAGAGATCGGGGTCCCAGCTCCACCACAGCCCCTCTCTGTGGTTACCAAGTGGGGGTTGTCCTGAAAACATATGCCACAGAACAAAGCGGAATCCGAAGCCCATGGTCCAATCCCAGCTCCTCTGCCCACCAGCCAGGAACATGCTCCACGTTTCTCTGACTCATGTTCTATACTTGCCGAGGAAGGTAATACCGAGAGCCAGCTCACAGGGGTGTGAGGAGGAGCCAACTAGCTCGTGCACAGAGCACCGAGAACAGGCGTGGATTAAGCCCTGTGCCTGCCATGGCTCCTGACATCACCCCCAGAGGCCAGATGAGCTGTGCCCAGAGCTCTGGCCGGTACGGAAGGGATCATATATACTGAATGGCCACCAGACAGAAGGGGAGAACTGGGACACATAGGAGAGGGGGATGGCCCGGACACCAGAGAGCAGAGACAAGAAAACAAAGGTGGTCCCCGAGAAGGGGCCAGACCTCATGGAGAGCTGCTCCAGAACTGCAGCTCATGGATGCAAATGTCAGAAACTATGACTGTCCGTGGCCAGAGAGCAAAGGGAAGAGGCCGAAAGGGGAGAAGGGCATGTGGCCCAGTTTCCTGAGCCTGAAAGGAGGCCATCCGGAGCACTGGAACAGGGCAGAGGGGAAAGCCAGAAGTCTCGTCTAGGCTCCGAGGCCACTGAGGACAAACTGGTATGTGGGAGGCCCCCTAGGAAGAGTGAAGACATCCAGGGTGGGTGTGGTGAAGGCGTTGGGGAAGGAGGCAGGCTGAGGCAGCATCTGAGTGGTCTTTGAGGACCTCACGGCCAGCAAGAGGCATGCGGCTGACACGGGGCAGGGACACAACTTCTCAAGTCTGAGAAGCCAGAGGTCACAGTGGTGGGAGGGAGGCAGGGAGGCACAGAGACGAGATCAGCGTGTGTGATGGGGAGAAGGCCACTTTCCCCAGAGAGGCCTAGATCCTGACCTCCTGTTCTCTGGACCCCACCTGTCCTTCAGGCCAAGCAGCTCCCAATGTCAGATAAATCTTCCCACCTGGCCGTGAGGTGAGACAGGAAGTGGCTGGCTCTGGAGAAGCTGCAGGGGAGCAGGAAAACCCAGGCCAGAGTCAGGAGAACCCAACAGGTCGTCCAACTAGAAGTCTGTGATTGGCTTCTTCATGGAAATACCAGAGGATGACCAGGTCGCTAACCTTGGACTTGGTTCTTATGAGCAAACAGCATTTTAGCGGTATGTTGGAATTGTACAGTTACAGTGTGTACTGCTATAGAAATAATGCACAAGATGCTCTAAGAAGTTCTAACAAGGTCCAGAACTTGGGAAGAAAACAAGACACCAAGTCAGTAAATGAATGAATGAGAGGCTGGCAATGTTCGTCTTCCAGGGAGTGAAAGCCTAGACATCTCAGGATTGTGACTGTCCTCTGAGGGGTGGCTCTCCTGCATTTGCCTGGACAAGGCCTCCACCACCGGCTCTCAGTGATCTCGGAGGACATCTCTGAAAGAGTGCGGAGGCCCCAACGATGCTGAACTGATGGGAGAATGTGGTTGTGCTGTCCCAGGGCGCAGTGTCCAGCTGGAATGAGGCAGGTTTGGGGAAATGGAGCTGTGCACAGACCGACCCCAGGGCAGGGAGAACACACTTAGATGCCGCAGAAGAAAAGCTGCTTGTGGCTGGGAATGCGAGCGCAGAGGGAGGAAATGCTGAGTACCGGGAAGCCAGGGGAGGGGAGCATGGAAGAAGGAAGCCTCCAGGTGGGGGGCAGGGCAGCGGGTTGAGGATGGTCAGGGCCGGGGCACTGCAGGAAGGAGTGCATGTGGGAGGCTGGGGCAGGTGTCTCCAGGCCCAGAGGGCCCCTTCCCTGCCCTGCCCTGCCCTGCCCTACCCTCCACTTGGCTCTGCGAGTCCCCTCTACAGAGCTCCTACAGCTCCTGGCATCAGTTACCCCATGAGGCAGATGCCTCCGCGCCAAAGCGAGGCCCTGCGCACCCACCCCTGCATCTCCACAGGGAAAACCCTCATGCGAGCTCAGGAGGGTCTCTTCCAAACGCTGCGTCAGCACGCCTCCCTCACCCCTGCTCCATCCGCACTGTCTCCTCACTCCTTTCACGTGAGCCCCAGGTTGACCTTGACCCCTCCTGTCCGTCGTGGGGGCCAGCTTTGCGGCTGCTCTGAGACTCGCGCATTAACACTGACTTGCCTGGGCTGAGCTGTGACTTTCAGGCTTCCCCAGGGCAACCGCAGCAGAAGCTCCTCCCACCTCCCACCTCCAACACACCCCCCATCCCCCCACACCCCCACCCCCACCCCCACCCCCACCCCCGAGCCTCTAAAGCACCAGCCTCTCTGCGGAACACAGTGGCCTGAGCTAGGCTCTCCTCTACATGCTGCGCACTCGCCTGGCCTCGCGGTGACCCATCCCCAGCCGGGGACGCTGGACAGACAGGCTGTGTGATGCCTACAAGGGCAGTAGATTAGGCCCCCTGTAGGTGCCCAATGGCCCCTCGCACACAGTCCTGGGGCTCAGCACAACATGAGCACAGACCGAAATTCTAGGGTCACCACCGCTCTCGGTCACAGCACATGGAGATGCCATCAAACACCAGAACACCCGTGTGGGGGACAGCAGGGCTAGAAGCCAACCTGGGCGTGTCACATCTGCTTAATGCCCACCGAAGAGCATGCCCGTGGGCTATGAGCAGAGAGGAGTAGGGAAGGAGCCCACACTCTCCATGCAGCCCCTCAGCTACAGGGACCTCAGCAGGCACAGATGCTGGGGACTCCTGGGTCCACGTCAGGATTAATCCTTCAACTTCCATCTCATATTACAAAAACAGATGTCATCAGTTTATTTGCTGCAAGAAAATACCAGTTTCACAAATTACGTTTTGCAATGAGTTAGGGCAGATCCCCCACGAGCCAGTTCCTGCTTGGTCACTGTAGGGCTCACACATTACTAACAGTCCACCTTCAGCCACAGGACGCATTATCAGAACTGAAACCAGGAGCAGGTGAGACACAAACTACCCCGCTGGAGGAGGTCGGTTCCCCTCTGCTTCCCCGGGCTGCCTCCTCCAGCCAACTTGCAAAAAGCTGGAGAGAGGAAGGTAGCTAAGCTAAGACATAAATCAGCTAACAATCAGGCATGGGCTATAAAACTTTATGTAAGCATTCATAAAGGTTAGGGAGTGTGAAATATTATTTTTCTTTTGATGACACTTATTAAAGGTGAGTGGAGTACATATTGAGAACAGTTTCCAGCAGGCTCATCTGGTAAGTGACCGGCCCCACATGGAAGCAGGAGCGGGGTCAGCTGTCCAGGCAGCACCCAGCTCCGAGCCACTGGAAAGTGGATACTCGCTTCCCGGGACAGGACAACTAGCATGCCGTGGTATTTGCTCTGTGAAATAAACACATTTCAACTTAACATATAGATCTGTTTAACAAACCTCTGCCTGCAAATTCCAACTTCAAAAACACTGGATAAATGAAAACGAAAAATTCACCAACATATATTAATAAATTATTCTGTATCAGAAACAAGAGTTAAACAGCAAGTTAAAAGGAAACCAGAAACTGTGAAAATAGTTTAGGTGACCCTGAAGTTTCGAAGACCTTAATACTGGTACAGAAACATGCTTGTAGAGATTGACACCAAAATCATGACGATTCCAAAAAGTCAACAGAAAAGACATGAAAAGACAATCGGCAGGGAAGAAATCTAAGGGATGAGGACACACAGGAAAAATCTTCAGTCCTTAGTAGTCCAAATGAAAATCAACCACAACAGCCCCGTGTTCCCTCCTGACTCAGAGCAGACCTGTTCCACGGCACAGCAGCAGCAGATAACACAGGCCCCCGATCTACCCTGGACGAGGGCTACGGGGTTGGACAATGGTGTGGAAGGTATTCTGTATCAGCAAGGACCTTTTTCTCCTCTCTCCATCTTGACTATCACAAAGAGTGCCTGTCTTCCCAGAGGAAGCTGTGAACGTGGTGGGAATGGCTGGGTCCGTGTGCACCCCGCCCACCCTCACCTTCTCAGCCCACGTCTCCCTTCCCAGGCGGCAAGGGGGCCGGACCGTGCTGGCTCCAGAGCATCGGCGACAGGTGCATCCCGCTGCTGACTTAGAGCAAACAGTTCAACGGGACGAGAAATACACATGCAGCACATGCACAGCATACATGTATACAAACAACACACAACGTTCATGCAACATACCTGTCCTTAATGTGCTGGGGGGAGCCGAGGCACCTGAAGCTGCCCTTGACCATTATGGCTAGTCTCGTGCAAAGAGCCTCACACTCCTCCATGCTGCAGGGAAAGACAAGAAGCCCATGAGTGAGCCGTGTCCTAGAGACGCCAGGCTTGGACCACACAGTCAAACCAACAGGTAGATAAAGACACTACTGTTGTTGGGGCAGCTGAGCGGCTCAGTTGGTGAAGCATCTGCTTTCGGCTCAGGTCACGACCTCAGGGTCCTGGGACCGAGCCCCCCACATAAGGCTCTCTGCTCAGTGGGGAGTCTGTTTCTCCCTCTGCCCCTCCCCCAACCCCTTCACTGCTCATGCTCTGTGTCTCGCGTTCTCTCTCAAATAAAATCTTTAAAAAAAAACAAAACAGTACCATTGTAAATTCAACAATTTTCTCTATGCAAACCTTACAGAACCCCCCAAAGCACTTTTTAAGTGGATCTTTTATTTAGACAGCCCATGACACACTTGTCCAAAGACTTAGCAGCATTTCAATATCTGAGGAGCAACAGCTACGAGGACAGAACCTTTTAGCGACAGTACAAAAACATAAACGAGATATGAGTGACCTTCATGGAAAATGTGGACGTTTTATGAGAAATAAAAGCAATAAGATCTACTATGAACCTAAATGAAATCCTAAATTGATAAAAAGACATATCAAGAAAAGGAAAACAGAGAATATATTTCAGAAAAAGGAAATTATCATAATATGAAAATTACTGTTAAGATAATTATTTTATGAAATATGTACACACAAATATAAAATGTAATAAGTGAATTTTATATAAAATACAAATATGAATTCTATTTTATTATCATACATAATATAAAATATAACAAATGACATTTTAATTTGCAACTATAATTTAGTTTGTAATATTGTATAATATCTTCATATAAAATATGTAATAAAGGCTTATAACTTGTAAAAGTATTATTATAATTATATAGAAAATAACAAGTTATAACAAGGATATAGTATAATGCCAGTCAGTTACAAAGCCTATCTTCGAAGTTATTTAGAGAGAGGCAGAAAAACTGTCAGTAGGAAGAGAAATAAGCCCCAGAAACTATTAACATTTGCTTTAAGGCTTAAATAATTTTTTTTTAAGATTTTTATTTATTTAGTTGAGAGAGAGAGAATATGAGCTGGGGGTAGGCAGAAGAAGAGAGGGAAAAGCAGACTCCCTACTGAGTAGTGATAAAGTTCAAATAATTTAAATAAAGCAATATGCTAAAGGATTAGAAGGCAGGTCCCTGGAACCAGTAAAGACAGTGCAGAAGGAGACCTTCACACCTTTAACATCGGAGGATGGAACATTGCATCTAAGCATAACAACAACAAAAGAAACTCTGAAAGAAATGTTTGGCAGTTGACAATGCAAAACTACAAACTTCTAATAAATGTGTCAACACAGCAAACTAACATTAAAAATAATGACAATGAACACAATACATAAGGGTTGATACATTCAGTATAAAGAATCAATACATGTTAGGGTGAAAATAGAAAAGTGAAAATGCAATCCAGGAAAAAGGGCAAACCTATAGCCTTTTCAAAGAACTGTTCACTGGTAATACACATCAGAAACTGAACTACCAGATACGGGATCTTAAAATCATTTTCCAGATGGAAGGCATTTGCCATGTGTACTTTTGTATGTTAAACAGGAAAACACATTTTCCCCCATCTCCAGGGCAAATAAAAACAATGATTTCTCAGATAAAAGAAAAAAAAAAACCTCAAAAAAGCTAAAAACATCTTTTCTATGATCCTAAGAAGGGCCCCCCCCATACTACTGATGGGAGTGAAAAATTGGTATAAGTTTCCAAAACCTGAATCTGGCAATAATCTCTTTTCTAGGAATTCACCTTAGGAAACTCAGAATATATGAATGCAACCAAGTTATTTCCCGGAGTAAATATCCAGAAATCAGTTCTACAATAGGATAATACAGCACTCATACAAATGTGAGTACACCCACATGTTAATCAGCCATTAAAATGAGCTTTTCTACACTCATTAATTGCACATGGAAAAAGTAATGATATAATAATGATAAAATGACAATGCATGTCAGGAATATTGTACCTGTATGTGGAAAAAAAAAAAAACTGGGAAGGAAAAACACAAAAAGGTATGATTGGGATGACACTTTTAAAGGTTAATGGTGGAATGTCTTCCTTCTTATACCTCACTGCACCATCCAAGCCACCTATGGGAGACATGTATTGTTTTTACTGTTAGGAAGTGGACATTAAGCAGTCTGCTCGTGAGGTCATGGCACGTTCAGATCAAGGCTATACTGGGTCAGCCTTCTGTGCAGCTAGAGGCGGACATCAATGTGAAGTATGATTTCTGGGTCGTGTCAAAATAAGACAAGCCACTTGTCCTGGATATTGGTTCTTTCCACTTTCCATGAGGGGATCTAGAAAGCTGATTTCAACCGTGAAGATGAGGACAAATTTACAGGTGACCAAGTGGCATGGTGGCAAGACCCTGAGTCCTTGGATGACCTTGGACTCCAGCACAACCCACCGACATGAATTGTCAATGGGGAGAAGGAACACAGGTCTACTCTGAGCCACTGTGACTTGGGGTCTTTGTTATAGTGGCTTAACATGAAGTCTGCGGAATATATTCTATCCACATTCTACATGCGCTTTATCTATCTCTCTATGCAAACATGTCTTTCTCTGTTTCTTTAATCCCAATTTAAAACAATCTAATTCCATTTTTATGAGCGTGTAGTAGGTGCTGTAATTAAATGGGCAGAACAGGAAGCCACGTCTGTATTCGCTCAGATGAGTGGAGATCCACGTAAGAACAGACGTTGGAGGAATGACTTGGTAGTTTCAAGTGAACTGTCATTAGTGGTCAGACAGATAAGGTCCAAACAACAGCTGGGAAATCAGGGCATCTCAGCTTAGGGGGAACAGACTGTGGATTTTGGTGATTTTCAGCATCAATCAGCATATACAATGCTAGGGGTTCAACATCAATGAAAGCAATCTCTGACCATTTACTCAGAAAATGAACACTGTGTTTCCTTAGGGTGGCTAAGCTGACTGGAACAGAACTCTGGTCAGGGCAGGGGGTGGGGGAAGGGGGCAGGCACAAAGATTTAAGGGTTATAATGGAATGTATAAGTCAGGGTTTGATGGGTATGCAAAAAACACTCCTGGTCATTCTTGGATAGACTCTCTTTTTTTTTTTTTTAAAAGATTTTATTTATTCGAGAGAGAAAGAGAGCAGGGGAAAGGGCAGAGGGAGAGGGACTAGCAGACTCCAGGCTGAGCACGGAGCCTGACGCCAGGCTCGATCCTACCACCCTAAGCTCATGACTTGAGCCGAAATCAAGAGTCAGATGCTTGACCAACCTAGCCACCCAGGGTGCCGTGGATGGACTCATTTTAATTCCTCTTCCCACCTCATGTTTCTACCATGGTCCTCTAGGTAAGGAATAAAAAAAAAAAAAAGAAACAGAGACAAGAACTCTAAATTAAGAGGAAACTGTGTGATTTGGAAACTTTTCAGCTGAAGACAGCTGTTTTAGAATCACAGAATCAATCACCAGCTGCCCTACTCTTCATTAATCGTGAGTCATTTAGACCTTTGTATTGCATGAAAATGGACAGATTTATAGAAATGAAGATACATCATTAACGTGAAGCTGTATGAACAGGAGGACATAAAACAGAAATTACAGTGACGTGTGGTCTTTCTGAGAACTGTTGGCAATAATTACCTGCTCTACGGAATTTAAGAGGCATTTTTAATGTGACACCAGTTTATCCAATCCTAGAACCTATGTGTGAACGTGAGGACTTACCAAATGCCAACATAATAAGCAGAGCTTCTGGACTTGGCACAGACAAAAGATGGTTTTCAGCCAAAATGAGTATATAGTATCAGGTAGAGGTTGTACCCAATTTACCTCGATGTAAAATTTTATTTTCCAAAGAGAAACAGAACCAAGACAAAAATGCTGGAGGAGGGCCTTTGGCTGTGTCCAAGTAAAAAAATTGGCAAGTCTTTCCCCCAGAAACAGCTATAAAGCTGGACCAAATGAACCCAAACACCCATTTCAGAATTCTGGAAGTTGACGAAGGCATGCAACAATCTGAGGAACACAGGTGACAAATGGATGAATGAGGGTAAGAAGACGGGTAATCCGGGATTAGCTTCACAAACATGCACCTGCTAGCAGGCAGGGCAGACCTCGAGGATTAGCAGAGTATTGGCTCTCAGTGTGGACCACTGGGAAATGCTTGTACCCAGTGACATTGTCAGTGTAAGTGAGTTCTGTGGAGTCCGGCAAACAGGAAGGGGCAATAGCTCTGGCATCTGGCCCAAGGTGGGCTCCACTTGGCTAATATTGTATGGATATAGCTCACTGGGGCTGCATGTACACGTAGGAGAGGTCAAAGGGGGCCACGCCAACTGCAAGCTGCACATGAATCCAGGGGCCACCCACGTGCACAGCCCAGAGACCAGCAGAACCAAGGAGAAAGCAAAACTGGGCTATCGACAAGAGGCCTGGGCTTGGAATATTCTCCTCTGTGCACACACAGATCCGTTGGCAGAGGACAGAATCTTTGGTGCCTTGAGATGGCTGAGGGCTGCCTCTGCCTGTGTACCATCAGTGTGGCTCCAAGGAAGCCGGGCTTGAAAACACGAGCACAAAATTTAAAACGCAAACTGAAGGCAGGCATCGGGAGTTACTCGCTGCAGGGGAGAGAGATCTCACAGACGCATCCCTGGCAAAGAAACACTAACACACAGACACAGATAAGGAACAAACCAGAAACAAAACAAAACGAAAACAAAAAAAACTGGCAATAACAGCAACTTTGGGGCATGGGGAGAAATCAAACCAGAGATACTACAGTTTATTAAGCATTGTGAAACATCCAGCTTTTGACAAAAAATTAAAACCTGCAGAAGAAACCAGAAACTGCTACCTATCCTTAGGGGAAAACAGTCGGCAGAAACTGTTCCCAAGTGTCCCTAACTGCTATGGTTAGTAGAAAAGAATCTTCAGTGAAGCTACTCTATGTATGTTCAAAGCACTAAAGGAAACAATGTTTCAAGATTTTTTTTTAATGACAATAATGATCAATAAATAGAGGTTCTGAGGTAGATTGGAATTTTTTTTTTTTTAAAGGACCAAATGGGACACCTGGGTGGCTCAGCCAGTTGGGCGTCCGACTGTTGGTTTCAGCTCAGGTCATGGTCTCTAGTTCATGAGATCGAGCCCTGCACTGGTCAGTGCTCAGTGGGAGGTCTGCTGGAGAGTACTCTCCCCCTCTCTCTGCCCCTCCCACCTATGCTCTCTCTTTCTCCAAAAATAAACAAACATTAAAAAGGGGGCCAAATGGAATTTTTTTGGTTGAAGAGTATGATAAATGAAATGAAAGTTTCATCACTGGGCCAAGAGCAAAGTTTGAGTAGCAGAAGAAAACATCAGTGAACTTGAAGAGAGATCAATGAAGATTATTTGATCTGAAAGAGAATAAAATGCTAAAAAGAAATGGACAGAAAACCATAGATCCATGGGACACCATCATATATACACAGAAAGTCCCAATGCATCAAAAAAACAAAGAAAGAGCCAGAAAAAAACACTGCAGTAAGTAACGGCCAAAATGTCCCCACATTTACTGAAAAACATTAACCCATGCATTCAAGAAGCACAATGAACCCAAGGTAGGATAATCAAAGAGATCCACCTCTGGACACACTGAAGTTTTACTGTGAAACGTGAAAGTCCAAGGGAAATCCTGTGAGCTGAAAAGCAGAAAGGACCCATGATGTTCTGGGCAACATGAGAATTAGCACTGGCTGGCTTCCTGTAAGAAACAATGTAGCTGAAAAGACAGAGACGACACACTCATCTGGACAACGTGCATTAAAATCACACTTTGCCAGGATGGCTGCAATCAGAAAGACAGTGTTGACAAGAGTCTGCAGAAATCAGGAACTTCATCTTTGGTCCTGCAAACATGAAATGATGAAGCCACGTCAGAAAGCAAAAGCCCTACTGTGGCTTAAAGGATTAAACACGAGCTTACCGCACAATCCAGCAATTTGGCTCCTAAAAACCATCCCAGACAAATAAAAAGATACACTCACACAAAGACAGTCATAGACAGTTCACAGCACCTCATACTGGAATCAGTCCCAAGGGCCATGGACTAGGGAAGAATGCACGAAACACGGTCTCAGGGAGCACCGTTCCACACCGAAAACCAGCCCATGGCTGACACACACCACCACACAGATGAGCCTCAAGGACACAGCAAGGGAGAGAAGTCAGATACAAAAGACCACACTTCTGGGGCCCCTGGGTGGCTCCGTCGGTTGGGAGACTGACTTCGGCTCAGGTCATGATCTCAGGATCCTTTGCCCAGCAGGGAGTCGGCTTTTGTCCCTCTGCCCCTCCCACAGCCCATGTGCTTGTGCTCTCTCTTAAATAAAATAAATAAATCTTTTTTTTTAAGATTTTTTTTTAATTTATTTGATACAGAGAGAGAGATCATAAGGAGGCAGAGAGGCAGGCAGAGAGAGGGGGAAGCAGGCTTCCCGCTGAGCAGAGAGCCCCAGGCGGGGCTCAATCCCAGGACGCTGAGATCATGACCTGAGATGAAGGCAGAGGCTTAACCCGCTGAGCTTTCCAGGTGCCCCCAAAATAAATAAATCCTTTAAAAAAAAAAAAAAGATGTTGGGCAGAAAGTCACTGACACCTAACATCAGGAGGACTGGGGGAGGAATCCAGGCCCGCAGGAATGACAGACGGGCAAGTGTGTGCCTGTGACAGACCGCTGGGCTCAGACTCTAGCTCTAGGCCACTTGCCGCCTATGTGGCCTCGGTTCTGTTGCCTGACCCATCTCCACTTCAGGGTCCTAACCTGTGCGGGGGGCTCCCGGCTACGTCCCCATGGCAGCAGGGCTGTCTGGACACAGAAGCACAGGGGCAGCATGGGCCTGACCCCAGCCACACCACGGCTCTTGCCAGTGCCCCCAGCCTGGCCCCCAGACTGGCTGTGAGGTCAGGGGCTCACCTGTGGGAGGTCAGCACCACCGCACAGCCTCCCCGGGCCTCTTGCAGTATCGTATTCCACAGGTGCCGCTTGGAGCAGGGATCCATCCCGGAGCTGGGCTCGTCCTGAAGGAGAGAGCACACGACGGTGGCTGTTGCAGGTGCACACTGGGACACACAGGCTGCATGCGGCCGGGCCCGGTGGGGGGCGGGGGGCAACCCCACGCTGGTTCTATGGGCAGCACGGCTTCACAACAGCTGGTGGTCCGAGAGGACGGCCCACCTTGTTGCACCGTCCACCTCCACAGAACTTCCAAAGAAAGACAGGCAAGAGGAAGCCTCCTCAAGGAGCACCACCAGGTAGCGTGGGCTCTCTTGGAACCCAGAGCCTTCCCCTTCAGTAAACACCAGAGCACTTACTGAACCACTTTTGAGAGAAACGGTTCTGGACCGTGTGATGCATTTCTGGGCTTTTGGCAGTCAGGGAGGACTAAACACATTTTTCTTAAGAGCTTAGGGTCATCAACTTCTCCAAAAGAAAAACAGACGGAAAGTGGACCAAAAAAATGGCACCGCGCAGGAAAACAAACACCTGCACTTTTCTGCAAACCGGATGACATACGTGTGTAGTTAGAAGAGTAAGCAAATAGCGGTGGTCACGTACTGCTCGGCAAGAAAGCTGATGGGGAGCTCTGCATTTTCCTGACCCCACGCCGGTGTCAGACGCGGGAGCCATTTGTCCTTCCTTGGGGGAGAATGTGGAAGGTCCTGCAAGGCATGTCTTGAACAAAATGCTCCAAACAAGTCCCTTCACCATGGTCACTAAAGCCTAGGGCACCATGTGCCATGGGCATCATTCCCTGGCCTGCTTTCAGCATCCCCAATACACAGGAGTGTATCCCGGCCACTTGCAGATGACAAGGAGGAGGAAACATGTGTTCTATAAGCCAGGCCGCATGTGTGCAGGGAGGTGCTTCTAGAAGCAGAACCTGGACCCTGGCAGCTGACTCAAGTCTGACCTCTAAGCCCAAGTCTAGGGCCACCAAGGGAGCTGAGAGTAAGCCTGCAAGAAGCAGGCGGGGGATGCACTCCTGGTCGGTGTCTCTGTCCTGATTTGGGACACATGCTGGGTGAGACTGAGCCTAGGGAAAGTTCTACAGAAGGTAACAGACACCATGCCCCATGAGCCCTTTGACGTCGGCCTCTCTTGTACGGAAAACCTAGTTTACAACCTGCAGAATGGGACAAGTGTTTGTATTCACTCCCGGATGTCAGAAGATGGCATGCTGCAGCTGTCCTTGACTTGGGGCCATGCAAAGAAACACGCTTAGAGCAAATAAGGAAAATCACCTGCGAGTCCAGAAGACACCCCACTAAATAATGAGAGGCCCCTCTTCCAACACAGGCCTCTTGAGTCCCCTTTAAAACAGTTTCCACTGAATGAACAAGAACAGAAAGAAGAAAGAAATTTGTTTCCCACACGTTTTGCAGCCCCTCTGACTTCATACACGTGGGAAGCCGTGGGACGCCCTCCAAGGACTCGTATCTTGTCTATGGCACCCAAATCATGCCTATTTTGTATTGTTTGAAGGATAGGACTCTGAGCTCCTTTGGAAATGCAAGACCATTGGCTCTGTTTCTGGATGCCCCACCACTGGTTCATGCTTTCATCGGGCTGAACTGGATTCACTCCAATTGCCAGACAGACTACAGACAGTCTCAGCTCAAAGCCACTGGTTCACACCCCCCTTCCTGCCAAACGACCCACTCTCCCTGCCATATCTGTCCTACACCTGACACCCACTGACAGGACTCCGCATGGACTCATGTCACAGCCGCTGTGACAATCACTTACCTGTACATAGAAAAGGCTCAAAAGTGACATGCTAGATGTCAAGTGCACACTGGTTTTCGGATTGTACTCGGGTTCTGGTGTTATTCTACAATACTGCTGTTAATGGTAAATTTTCACTGCATCCTCAGTGAAATAGATAACAGAGACTCTCAGTTTGGGAAACGTTGTCTTAGGGCAAAATGTTTATTTGTTTGGAGAACCCACACTGCAGATGTGAATGTCCTCCCCAGAGGGGCATCCTAGTTGAAGACGCCCAGAGACCACAGATCTGTCCGCTACTCACCAGCAGCAGCAGGTCAGGTTTGCCCAGCAGGGCCAAGGCTGTAGAGAGCTTCCGCTTGGTTCCCCCGCTGTAGGTAGCCACCAGTTTGTCCACGTGGGCCTCCAAGTGTAGACGCCTCACAAGGTCCCTGGCCACCTGCAAGACAGGCGCTGACCTTGAATGCATTGCCATGCTGCGAGGGCCCCCAGACCCGTGCGCTCGGCCCTGCGTGCCCTCCTCCCTCTTGTTGCCCCTGCCCACCCCGCACGCACAGCTCCCTTCCCTCCCCCAGACTGGCAGAGGATGAGCAGGTGGGGACTCAGGGCCACTCAGCGCTGGAGCTCTGAAACCTCGTTCAGCCAGGGCTCAGACGCACAGCCACATGGGGGCCCGAGACCAAGGAGGAAGTAAGGGAATCAGCCAGGGAGGGGGAGGGCAGGACGGGGTTTCAGAGAGCAGAGAACGGAGAAGAGAGCTTTTAATTTCCCCCAGGCCAAAAATGCTCCCTTTCTACCACGGAGCCGCTGCCAGAGATGGGCACTCAGGGAGATGGGGAGCAAAGACGGAGCATTTCTCACCAGCCACTGCCGGGACCTGCTGCACGAAGCCAGGAGGACGGTGACTGTGCATCACCCCACAGGACAGGGGTTTCTACCTTGAGCACACACAGCACGTCGGGCCCCCTCTCCTCCTCTCCCCGCTCCACCTCCACCTGCCCTCCTTCATACACCCTGGGACCCCACTCCTGTCCTCGCCCCTGTCCCCTCTCCCCCTCCCATGCCGGCAGCAAGTGTCCATACAGTCCTTCCGCTCCAGCGCCCACCACAATTCCCGCCACCCCACATCTCGTCTGCTTTCCGTGCCAGCGCGGTGTAGCTTCCTCGGGGGCTGACACTGAGTGACAGACACAACTTAAAACTTTGACAAAAGCATTCTACGTGACTCTCATGACCCCAGAGGCATTGCTGCAGTTCTGTTTTGTGGGTTGGTCTAGACATCATCATATGATCAAACTGGCTGCGATCGTGTCTTAATCCAGATTTAGGAGAGGTGGGGAAGGCTCTGTGTCCTGAGTAACAAAGAAAATCTAAGATAAACAGAAGAAAATTTAAAAGTAAAATAACTGAATAAAATATATATTTAAATAAGATACAGGGACTCATGTTCATGATTTTTTGGATAAATGCATACCAGTTGGGATAATCCTAATAATAATGGCCATGATGGCATACCAAGAATGTCGGGAAATACCAGCATGATATCTAGGCCTCCCAAGAAAAACCCCCGACAGAAGCACTCAAAGCGTTTTTCGCGCCTCCTCAAAATAACGCAGAAGAATTAAGAATCTTGAGGACAGGCCTAGATATTAGAGAGTCTAAGTCAAGGGGACGCAGAAAACCTTAGAATAAACTCGCCAAACTATGACTGCTGATGTTCATAGGTTATGTTTTCCCAGTTCCACAAAAGGTCAATGTTAGGTGCCCGGAAGGGTTTAGTCGTTTAAGGGTCTGCCTTAAACTCAGGTCATGATCTCGGGGTCCTGGGATGGAGCCCACATTGGGCTCCTGGCTCAGCGGGGAGCCCACTTCTCCCTCTGCTTTTCTCCCTGCTGTGCTGTCTCTCTCAAATAAATAAATAAAATCTTTGATTTAAAAAAAAGTCAGTGTGGCAGCCTACCCATCCTGGGTTGGATGGCCATAGGGAAGAGTCAGAACACATAGAAACAAATGCATTGGTTCAATCTCATGCTTCCTAAAAGTTGCTATTTTCAGAAAATCACAGAAAACAGCCTGATAAGCTCTTTCTGCTGCATTTCTGCACTTGGGACTCCTGTCAAGATTACAGCAAACGTGCGGCCCTAGCAATGGCCGGCAAAACACCATGCCAACCCCCAACTGTGTTCCGCTTAAGGAACCTCTCTCTGCTATTGGGTGTTTTTCTCCCATAAAATTCCCAGTCTTTCTACACTCAAGGCAAGAGTTTAGGATTCACTCCTCCTTCCATCCGCCCTGCGTAATCATGACCCACACTTAGTAGGACTTCTATAAGCCTCGTCTGAAACAGTATAACCCTCCCAGAGGTCCACACATGCATTAGTTTGCTTACAAAGCCAAATTCTGGCCACACCATGCTGAGAGCCATGTCCAAGCTCCCCAGGAGATTAAAGATCAAAATGAGAAGGATAAAGGGGGCCCAGGATTTAAAACAGAAAGCCTTTCTTCCATCCCCCTCCCCTGATTTTCCTCCTGCCCCCCATTCCTCTTGCCATCACTTCGAGCTCCTTCTAGCAAAACTGTCTGTGAACCGAAGAAACTTGCAGGGTAAGAGGCGTGTCTGTGGCGAAAGCAGGAGGTAGTGAGACATGGGGTGGGGAGTGGGGAGAGGGAATTCTCCCTGGCAGGTGAACACAGGGGCAGAATGGCTTCTTCTATCCCAGCAAGACCACCCTATAGAAACCCCAGTCCTCATCCTCAGCATCACGGTGGGTCGGTGGTTCCAGTATGACACAAACCCTTAAATTACTCTACCCATTTCTCCAGCATCACAGACCATGCCACCCCTGCCTTCTGAATCATTTTGGTATAACTTGATGTAACTTCAGAAAAACAAAAAAATCAGGTTCACTGAATTCAAGCTCAAATATGGACACCACAAAACTATCTAGTGTGGAAAATGGGGGAAAATTGAAAACCATTATATCAGCCTGCCAAGCCTGAATTCAAGCCAAATGAACACAGCCTCTCTTTCCCACCTAACTGGGCCTTCAGAGAGCTCGGGGCCGGGGCGGGGGCATGGTGGTGGTGTGTGGCTCTGAGGAGGAAGAAAACTACACGCAAAATACCAGAGACTGGACTGTGCATAAGCTGGGACCCTGGGACGCAGAGAAGCCTGGGTGCTGAGGGAGGGAGGGAAGGAGGAAGGGAGAGAGGGGTGCAGAGGGGCTGTCAGGAGGGGCTACCTGCTGGAACAAGGGGGGGGCTTCCTCTAGAACCATGGAGGACACAACTGGGGCTGCCCAGGTGAGTATAGGCAGAGGTCAGCTGGAGGAGAGAACGGGGGTGAGCAGAAGATAAACCAGGAAAAGACCCCGGCTCCAAGTCCTCGCAGAACGCAGGTGCAGGGCTCAGCTGGGACAGCTCCAGCCCTGAGGAAGATGTGGAATGGGACCCCCGGGCCCAGGGGCCACAAGACAACTCCACATAGCTTCTACTCCCGTAGCCACCAAAGGTGCACAGAGAGGAAGACCAAGACCCTCGGGGCACAAGAAATTGAACAGTACTCAAGGAGCAGCTCACATGCAGATTCTGTCTTCATCAAGAACAGCTACTCGGATCTCCAAGGAAACCCCGCCACCTTCTGACCCTGGGGCTTAGGTAGTTTTCCCAACGCCCCTGTGTCTCAGCTTCCCCACTGGCCAAGTAGGGAATGAGCATCGGATCAACCTCTTGTGGTTCTGTAAAATACTTAGAATAGCGTCTAGCCCAGAGCAAATACTGAAATGTTGGCCAAAAGGATTTTTTCCTGTTAGTTTGTCATAATCCCTTCTGGGCAGCCAGTGATAAGCATGTTCGAACAGACACACCTGCACTCTATTTCCCTAAAAGGGAAGGGCACCCCCTGGCCATCAAGGGAGCTACCCCACCTGGGGACACACATGCGGCCGTTCAGAAGGCTCCCAGCACGTAGCAGCTCCATCTGCAGAATGGTTGCGGCTCCACGCAAGAAGCGAGGCCGGCTCCGAATCTGGCACCAGGAAAACAACGTTCCTTCACGGAGGAGCTCCGAGAAATGAGCCGGTGAGCGCGCCAAGAATCAGGAGGCGATCGCCCCAGTGACGGAGTGCGCAATCCCTACTCTATTAAGCAGAACTTCTCCTCGTGTGCATTTTCCCCGGGGGCCGGCGAAGGGGCCAGCAGAGGGTGGACGTCAAGCATCTGCCTCTTTCACCAGAAACGAGCCAGGGGAGCTGACAGAAATAAACACCTTTTGAAGACAGAGCTCCTGATCAGTCCTGGGTTTCAATGGCTGCTTCACCACGATGAGCAAACCTCTAGAGGCAGACAGTTGTCTTGGCTTGATGAAGACGGGAGGTCAGGGAAGGAAGTGAGGCCCTCCAAGGACGAGGAGGGTTTCTGTTTTACTTGCGCTTAAGTTACAGAGCATCAGTAAGAAATGAAGGCTGAAGAAACATTACACACCAGCACATGGAATGAATTTTCATGGGCCAGTGAAAGTGAGGCTGTTAGTTTTGTCTCCCGTGAATTCTGGGATGCTCCCTTTCCTGCAGAATCTCATTGAAAATGCACCATATAAGCTACTTTTTCTGTTCCTTGTTCAGAATCCAGAAATGCAAAGAACATTCCAGAATCTCTACAAGGGGCAGAAAAGGTAAAGCCGTGTCCCCAGCACCTGTCCTTCCAGTGGCTAGCCCTTGGCACGTCCTCTTAGCTGTCGGTCAAGGCTGTCAGCTCTGCTTGGCTGACCCCCGCTCATAGCAGGAGAATGGCAGCTGCCTCTGGCTTTTTCATGACTCTGCCCACCCTCAGCCCCACAGAGACAGAGGAGGGGGGCAGTCTGCAGTTTCTGCCACCTCTCCATCCTCCAGAGGCCACCCGGGGAAGGAGCCGGGCGGGCAGGTGTCAGCCCACTCACCAGGAAATCCTTCCAACAACCCACCCCATTCCACAGGCAGCCTGAGCCCTTCCCTGAAAGCCACAGGGAGGGTCTAGGATGTTCGCTCCTAAATAAAAGTAACAGCCGGTAAATGCAAAACGAGCTTGGAGAGGAAACAAAGTTGCAAACAATGTTAGCTTTAACCCCAAGCGACTTCCCCTCTCACATCTATTTTAAATACCGGATTAAATGCCACATTAACACCGTTACTGTGTTTCCTTCCCTGTAATCAGATTGGAAACATCTTTCTGGTACATTATGTGGTTTATCGTGGTTCCTTCCTAAGGGGTCAGAGAGCTCTGTTGGGACTGGAGGAGTTGACCTTAGTTGACCTTAGCGGGACCCTCTTCTGGAAGAGTCCAGGGAGTCTTACGTGAGGGATGCTCAGCTTGGGAATCCCCCGGAGGCAGCAGTAATACTGAAGGTGTTCCCAGCCGGTGAGGAGCTCGTCCAGGGCATCCTGCTGCGGACAGTAGCCAATGCGAACGCCGGCGGCACCCGCTGAAGCCAGATCCACAACCTCTCTGCAAAGAGAAATAGCAGTACAGCCCAGAAAATCCGGCTCCCCAGACAAACACCCATTTCTTCGACCCGGCTCATCCATGCGAAGTTCACCATTGGTTTTTATGTTAAAGAAAAACATACGCAGGGGCATCTTGGTTAAGCATCTGACCCTTGAACAACACAGGGAGTTGGGGATGCTGACCACCAGGCTGGAGAAAATCCACGTATAAATTGTGACTCCCCAAAACTGAACTACTGACAACCTATATTGGCAGAAAGTGTTATCAATAACAAGCACACATTTTGTATGTTATAGGTAGTATATGCTATATCCTTAAAATAAAGTGAACTGGGGCGCCTGGGGGGCTCAGCCGGTGAAGCCTCTGCCTTTGGCTCAGGTCATGATCTCAGGGTCCCGGGATCGAGTCCTGTGTCAGGCTCCCTGCTCAGTGGGGAATCTGCTTCTCCCTCAGTCCCTCCCCCCACTCGTGCTCACTTTCTCTCTCAAATAAATAAATGAAATCTTAAAATAAATAAATAAAATAAACTAGAGAAAAGAAAAGGCTGCTAAGAAAATCATAAGGAAGAGAAAATACATTCACAGTCCTGGATTTACTGAAAAGCAAGCATCTCCATCTACGGGATCCCGAAACCATCAGACCCTAGCTGTTCAAGGATCGCCTGTACAAGTGTCAGACTTTGTTTTGAACCACTGCCTCTGGAAAAATTTTACTCCATTAGTTTTTTGTTTTGTTTTCTTTTTTGTATTCCATCTTTTATTTTCCATGGTGCTAAAATATACATCATATAAAATTTATCATGTTAGCAATCATAAGGTATAAAAGTCAGCAGTACAAAGGGCATTCAGGATGTTGGGCCCCCATCACCACCATCCAGGTCCGTGACACTTTTGACCCCACAAAAGGAAACCCCACACCCAGAAACTGGTCACCGTCCCCCAGCCTCTGGCAACCACCCATCGGCTTTTGTGTCTGTGGATTGGTCTATTCTGGGCAGTTTGCAGAAACTGAACAACGTAGGGTACGACTTCGGCAAGCAGCTTCTGTCACTCGGCATGTCTCTTTCCTTTTATGGTAGACCTGCACACAGCCGTTATTTTTTTTTTAAAGCGCCACTGCCATTTTATAAAACAGAAGTCCGCGTGTTAGAGCGGTCCCCGCGTTAACGAACAGACCAGTTCCGATAACTCCGCCCCGCACCGGGAAGTCTACTGCGTTTTTTTCATTCCTTGGCCATGAGGCACAAGAGAAAAGAAGCACATAAAGAAGGAAGAGGGAGAAAATAAGACTAAAAAAATAAATAAATAAATAAAAATTTTTAAAAGGAGGAGGGGGAGAAACAAGATTTAAAAAAAGGAAGAGGGGGTAATCGTCTTGGTAATGAATAGAGTTCTGGCTGTTAGAGCAGCCTCGGTCTACAGGAAAGTTGCACAGAAAGTGTGCAAAGTTCCCACACCCTGCCTCACCTCTCACCCAGAATCTCCCCCCATCATGACCCTCCCGCTTTGCTCTGGTGCTTTTGTTTCAATGCATGAACCCAGTGTGAGACACTTACTCACTAAGGTCCTTCCTTGACATTCGAGCTCGCCCTGGGTGTTGTGCATTTCTGTCTGCTCTGTCCCACTCACGGAACCCCGTATCAACAGTGTCACAGAGAACTCTCCATTGCCTTAGAGATCCTTTGTGCTCTACCCCATGCACCCCGCCCTCCCCTCCGCGGCAACCGCTGGTCTTTGTACTGCCCACGTATCTTCGCGTTTTCCAGAACGTCACAGAGCTGGAATCATGCAGCACACAGGTCTTCGGAGAGCCTTCTTCTGTTAGTGAAATGCATTTAAGGTTCCTCCGTGTCCTCTCATAGCTTGTTAGTTGTTCCTCACTGGTGAATAATATTCCATTCTTCAGACGCACCCCGGTGCATTTATTCATTCATCTACTGAATTTTGACAATTTCACTGCCGTAATTTGATGATAACGCTGCCGCGAGCATTATCTACAGGGAGGGTGGGGCGGTTGTGCATAGAAGTTCTCAGATCATCTGTACGAATACCCAGGAGCAGGACGGCTGTGTGATATCGGAAGGTCACGGTTCGTTTTGTAAGAAAATCACAAACTGTCCTCAGGAGTGGCCCTACCACGTTCATTTCCAGTGAACAAGAGCTCATATTCCTCCCCATCCTCAGCAGCATTTGGGACTGTCAGCATTTGGGATTTTAGTCATTCCAGTGGGTGTATATATACCTGTTGTATGCGCGTGCAATTCCCTAACAGCGTACGATGTTCCCCGTCCTCTCCCGGGTGATCTGTACATCTGCTTTGGTGAAGTATTCCTTCAGACGTTCTGACCATATTCTAATTGGGTTATTTTCTTCCTGTTGGGTTCTTTGTATCTTTTGGAGACAAGCTTTTTATCAGATACACTTTCTGAAAATATTTTCTCCCAATCTATGGCTCATGTGTTCTGTCCCCTCAAAGTGCTCTTCACAGAGGAGACTTTCTGTTTATTTTAACAGAGTCCAACTTACTCTTTGATCCGTATGATAATTAGAAGTGTGTTGTTTAATCCCTGAAAATTTGGGGACTTTCCAGCTGTCTTTCTGTTATTGCTGGCTTAATTCTATTGTCCTCTGAAAGCATATTTTGTACGACGTCTACTTTAAAACTGTTAAGGTGTGATTTGCCGCCCTGAATGCCGCCCTCCTGATGGTCTTCCGTGTGAGCTGGAGAAGAAAGGGCATGCTGCCTTTCCAGAGAAAAATATTCTAGAAACGTCAATCAGGTCCATTTGATTAATGGGCTGCTTGGTTCAACTCTACCCTGACCCATTTTCTGCCTGTGGGATCTGTCAGTTATCGAAAGGGGGATGCTGATGTCTCCCAGCACAGTGCAAAGTGCACCCTCTTTCTTCTCCCTCGGCTCTGTCACCTGTCCTCCCAGATTCTGACTTTTGGGTTTACACACATTACACACATCCTGCAGAGAATTGGCTCCTTTGTCATTCTGTAATATCTCCCTTTACTCCTGACCTTTTTTTTTTTTTTTGCCCTAAAGTCTGCTCTATCTCAAATTAATGTGGTGCCTCGAAATTTCTTTTAATTAATATCAGTACGATGGATCTTTCTTTTCCCCATTACATATTTGGATATTTTCAACATTTTTTAAAATATTTTATTTATTTATTTGACAGACAGAGATCACAATTAGGCAGTGAGGCAGGCAGAGAGAGAGAGGGGGAAGCAGGCTCCCTGCTGAGGAGAGAGCCTGATGCAAGGCTTGATCCCAGGACCCCAGAATCATGACCTGAGCTGAAGGCAGAGGCTTAACCCACTGAGCCAATCAGATGCTCCATCTGCTATGTTTGTAACAACTTTCTATTCGGTCCCCTTGCTTCTCTTCCCTTTCTTTTTCTGCCTTGTCTGGTTTTAGTTGAGCATTCTATGCGATTTCATTTTCTCTCCTCTCATAGAATATCCATTATACTTCTTTTTAAATTTGTTTGCGGTTGTTCCAGAGTTCATAATATACATTCACAACCATTCCAAATCCATTTGCAAAAAAATAATAATAATATTAATAAAGTTGAAATATCGTGTTCAGAGTGTTCTCAGTTCCCCTTCCCTTCCCACATAGGATCACCACCATTCCTGTCACTTAGCCGTCAGCTCCAAGAACTGAATACAATGTTGCTGTTATGATTTTAAACAAACTATTACTTGTATGATCGATTAGAAATGATAAATTTAAAAGGTCTTCAATTATTCTTTCTCTAATGTTCATCCATTCTTCATGCAAATCTGGCTTTGCGACCTCTATTATTTTCCTTCTTTCAACATTTCTTGCAAGACAGGTCTGCTGGTGACACATGCTTTCTGTTTTCATTTCTCCTTCACCTTTGAAAGATAATTTCATTGGATTCAGAATTCTAGTGTGTGGTTATTTTTATCTGAAAGCTTTAATATTCCATCCCCTGTCTTCCTTCTTTCATGGTTTCTGAGAAGTCCAATGTCGTATTTATCTCTGTCTCTGTAGGTAAGGTTATCTGTCCCCCATGCCAGCTTCCTTCAAGAATCAGTCTTTGAGGGGCGCCTGGCTGGCTCAGTGGGTTAAAGCCTCTGCCTTCGGCTCAGGTCATGATCTCAGGGTCCTGGGATCGAGCCCCATGTCGGGCACTCTGCTCAGCAGGGAGCCTGCTTCCCCCTCTCTCTGCCTGCCTCTCTGCCTACTTGTGATCTATCTGTCAAATAAATAAATAAAATCTTTAAAAAAAAATCGGTCGTTGACTTTTTACAGCTTGAATATCATATGATTAAGTGTAGGTTTTTGGTGTTCCTCTTATTTGGTGTTTTGTAAACATCTTCATCTGCACTTTGTGATCCATCATACATTTTAGGGGAAAAAATGCCATCATTATTCAAATATTTCTTCTGTCCCTTTCTCTCGTCCTCCTGCTGGTATCACCATTATGTTTGCATGTCAGGTGTTGTAACTATCACAATTCCCTGATACTCTGTTTCATCTTTTCTTTTTTTTTCTCTTAATCTATCTGCAAGTTCACTGATTCTTTTCTCCACTGTGTCGAGTCAACGGATGAGCCCATCAGGGGCGTTCTTCCTTCTCTCATTCTTTTTATTTTCATTCTTCTCTCTGACCGTGTTTCTTTTGATTTCTAGCATTTTTCTTCTTTCTTTAAAGATTTTATTTATTTATTTGACAGAGAGAGAACACAGCAGGGGAAGTGAGAGAGGGAGAAGCAGGCTTCCCACCAAGCAGGGAGCCCAGTGCAGGGTTCAATCCCAGAATGCTGGGATCATGACCTGAGCTGAAGGCAGAAGCTTAATGACTGAGCCACCCAGGCGACCCTAGCATGTTTCTTCTTAAACAGTGTCCATCTTTCTGCTAACATTACCCATTTGTTCTTGCACAGTGTCTACTTTTCCCATTACAGTCCTTAGCACATCAATCAGAGTTATTTTAAATTCCCAATCTGATACTGCACCATC